CTTTTTTCTTTACAGGAAGATTATCAACTTGTTGCGGTGTATTCGTTTTGCCGACGGTTAACACGTCATCGTTTAGAGAGCATATTATCTTATCGAAAAAAAAAAAAAAAAAAAAAAAAAAACGGTACACAAAAGACAACGTACGATAAAAAAGTAAAGTCGTAAATAAAGTTATAAATAAAAATAGTAAAGAATATTTTAAGAAAATTTTTTAAGAAAAATATTTTATGCTTAGAAAATTCTTATGCGATTTTACGATTGTAATAAAATAAAAAATAATATATTATTTTTCATCAACACACACAAAACACACACACATACACATCAATATGATACCGATGTCAAATTATTCTTCTTTACTCAGAATATCTCAGATTCATTGCATTTATACACTCGCGAAAACATTAATTACAATTGCGCGTGTTAATTACCAGAATAAGATAATTGTGTGAAACTTTACAAGATACTTCCGATACACACAACATGCGTTTTATTATTGTATATTAGAAGAAGTATGAATATACAGAAAAAACTTTAGAAGTATTCGATTCCGCAAACCGCAAATTAGCATAACGAACAAAACATCTCGAACAACGAAAAGTTTTATAAAATCAGGCAATATATAAATATCGAATTTATTTTATATGCAATCGATAAATATTAAATTGCGCATTTAATTACGCACGCAGTTATTCCGTATTACTCCATATTCTCAATCCAAAAGTGATGAGGGGAAATTATATTTAAAACAACAAAATAATTAAAGCACAATATGAGATATATTCGATTCTGTTAAATAAATAATTCACATTATCTCGCTACGTAGATAAAACAATAATTCATAACTCGTCCTTTATCAATAAGTGGAATGAATAAATTGCGCGAAATACTTTGCTTTGATAAATAGCTAATATATTTACAGTCGTTAATTACAAGAGTCAATTGATCACGTGAGCTAATAATTGCTGATTACTCATAGGAAATGCATCGCGTTTCGTTGGGTAAAGCGATGACACATGAAGTGACACGTCGCTACCTGCCGGGCTCGAGTCTCTTGCTGGGCGAATGATAACACGCCGGCGACCTTGCGTACTTCGCAACGGCACTTAGCATATCAAAACAAACACCACAAGGCCACGCGCGCGTGTTAGTAAAACTGTCGTTTTAAAATATATTTTCTTCATGTAACACATTTTATAAATTAAATCGTGAAGAATATGCTCTTATTTCTAATTAAATTTTTAATTAAATGGTTATTACACACATGCAATTTATTTTTGCAAATTTATTACTCGGCTAGGGGATTAATTTTGTTCCATTAAGAAAGCATTTTGAAATAGAAATGTTATTAATTAAATCTCAATAAATGAGAGAATTTATTTCTTAAATAATCTGTACAAACGTATGTTAATAATATCAAATTTTAATTGTTATATACGAATTATTTAAATTTTTTTAAAACCTATTGTTTTATATAAAATAAAATTGATCTCGTTTATCGAAGAATCATTACATTAAAATTTTTATCCAAGAGAGAAGTGAAATTGTATGATTTATATAAATTCTGTTCTACTTGAATGAGATGATTCTGAAGAAAGAGCGCGAAGATTCGTCGTGGTGAATTGTAGGGTTAAAAAGGTCCGGTAGAGGGTTAATGCCGTCATCTCTAACCAGAATTGACACGGCACTCATCCCCCTCGCAACGTAATTGGCCCCTTTGCTTTCTAGTCTGATGCCAGAAGGGATTTCTAGAAGTCAGTGGGCAAATCCTATTTCGGCGGCGTTTATATTCGACAGAGAAACCCTGGGGGCCGGCGTTTATTGCTGATCTAATAAAAGTCCCTCGCCTGTCGATTGCCGTAAACATGAGTGTACGTCGTTATATGGCGCCCCATAATTGCCACAATAAATTTGCGCAATCTCCGTCAACGTCAGTTATATTATCACCATGCATTGTTTTAGGAAGCCGGGATATAAACGGCTTTATCTCGGAATTTCTAGTTTACATACCTATTAAAATGTCATTTGTTTGATATTTCTTTTTAGTACGCGAGTAAAGATAAATTATTAATAAATTACGGTTATTAATCTGCTTCATGCAGACACGATATATATGAAGCAGATTAATAACTGTAATTTATTAATAATTTTATCCTTACCTGCGTATTAAATGTAAATATCAAATAAGTGACATTTTAATAGGATAAACTAAAAGTGGATAAATTGTTTTTCAAAGTCTCAAATTACATGTAGGTACTTACGGCATTTAAGGATTATTAAATTATACGACATTACGATATAACAATATTATAGTGAATGCTTATATCAGTTATTATTTAGCATAAATGAACTATAACTAGACATGTTCGTCACCAATTGAATCCGTAATTACATCTTACTTATTTTACGTAACTTTAATCGATGCGTGAACACAGTTGAGATTTATCGTAGACGAACGGCAGGCGCCAGAGATATGCCAAGGGAACAAAGAAGAATTGTTCAGTCGGAAGAGACAGAAACGGAGTCGATGAGAGGGTAGCCAAAATAATTAGCGGGAGGCATCGGGAAGGTCGGGCGGAAGGTCGTGGCCAGGAAGCGGCGTGGGGAGTCCTGTGATCTTAGGGAAGTCACGGGTCAGCTATGTGTGCTTTGCCTGGTTTTTGCTGGCGAATATTACTGCGCGCAATTAGCCGCGGTTCATTAGTTACTGTCCAATCAATCAAGACGCCCGACGGAAGGAAGAGACTTCCTTGTAAACTCATCAGTTTTGTAGAAAGCGCGGCTTGATATTTCCTGTGAAACCGTTTTCTGTGCGTCAACCATGTCGAATGAAATTTTACAATGAGAGGAAAAAAGCTTCATGCAAGACAATATTTACAGAACGACTCTTGTTATTACGCATCTCTTTTATAAAAATGGAGGAGAATTTGAGTTCTCTTTGATGTTTTGATGGTGAAATAGATAAACCTTCCACGCGCTATAATTTTTTTAATGTATAGAATTAGATCTTGATTAATTACAAGGCATCGGCTTCAATTCACCTAATTTCCGAGAAGGATTCGATTGAGGTCAAAGACCAGATCGTGATGGCCCTCAATATTATCGGTAGCTTTCCTTTCTACATATAGATCACAGTAGATGAAGATCATAGCAGATGAAAAAATATTACTATTTTTGCTTGCACATTAAAGGAAAATTACAAATGTAGTTACAAAATTTTTTATGTTATACAAAATCAATATATAATAATTATATTACATTATGTATATAATAAAACTGTAACAATATTTTTCCATGTATGTTTTAAAATTAGCGGTATGAAAATCAAGTTCAAAAACACACGTAGATCATAACGCTATAATTCACGGCATCCATCTTTCTCAGTTTTCTGGTTGATCCTTTCCACGGGAGTTTAAATGAAACTCAGGTAATCTGCCGGGTGCCCGGACTAGGTTCATTAGTCAGGAGACTAAACGCCGTTGCCCCACTCTTGCTAAATAAGCTGTAAGGTCTAGGGACGAACCGGAAAGTCGAGTGTCTCTCGTAACGATGCGCTCGATCGATTATTACTGCATGATCTTGCACAATTCGCTATTTCGCCACCGCGAGCTTCGATTCTCACCTGACGATATCGATAAATTGGCCACTTAAAAATCCATTAATTACAACGAGAAACGCGTGAATAGAATTTTGGGCAAAGTGACTTCCGAACAGGCTGCTCATTCACAAACGTGTCGGATTTATTAATATTTCTTTCAACTGTTTACGTACCTTCCGTTTTTTTATATGAAATTTTATTGAATCTCACAGAAGTTTATGTTTGACGCTATTATTTAATTGTTTATTATTAATGCCGTTGTTAAAGTTAATATAAAAATCAATTACGCGAATTACTAGCCGTTTGCAATCTTTAGGAAAAACTATGAAAGAAGAAATTTTCTTCTTGATAAATGCATCAATAATATAAAGAACATAGGAAATGAAAAATTTTATAAAAACTAATGCTGTTATTAATGCATAAATCAAATATATTTGTTCACTAATAAAAAACGCAACGTTTCGACCATCAGTTTTTGGTCCTCATCAGGGTGACAAAAAAGAAAAATAATTAATAGTATTCATGATTATAATGTATCTGTTTAACAAGTAAATATTAACAAGTCGAATAAACACAATACAAAATTAGTCGAAAGGCGGAAAAATTATTTAAAATGCGCTGTATGTGTTGAGTGAGTAATTAGGTGTCCGATAAGTAATAAAAAGTAACAAAAAAAAGTAAGTCAAAACAATCATAACAATCTGATAGTCAGTTAAAAAAATTATTAATTTTTGAGTCAAAGTAAAAATTAAGTCGCTGAAGTAGATAACAAATAATCGTATTGATGACAATCTGTAACAAATGATAATACAACAAATCGATGAGCAAAGTGACGAAACAATAAAATTCAGACAAGGATAAGAAAAGTAAAAATACAAATAATATATAATAATTTTATAGCAGCGTTGGCTCTTATTAGCTTCCTTCATTTTTTACGTTAGATTTATTCTCAGAACCTCCCTCTATTTTATACTTTTGTCAACATAAAGACCATTAGGCGCGTAAAAGGAACGCGAACATGAATCAAATCCTCACGAATCACGCGAGACAATCGCGAGTTCTCTTTCGACCCGTTGAGGAAAATTTTTTGTTGCCCGGCAGTGGGATGATTTAGACGGTGCTGGTGAGTGGCGCCAGGAGAAGGATTGAGGGCGCTCTCCGACTTCTTTTCTGGGCCTGATTGCGTAGAAGCCGTAGAAGCGTAGCTCTGTCCGCGGCCCTCTGAGGGATTCGAGGAACGGGACGGCGGGAAGAGACAAGGTGAGATAGAAGAAGAACTTTCAGGGCACAGAGGCACTGGCGCCGCGCGCGGCAGCCTCAAAGGGATCCTCCGCACGCCCATCTGTCTCCGCTCCGCCCCTATTCCCGCGCACCATATACATCATGTACGACCGCGACGTACCCACACGACCACCGGGATCCGACATCGTGTCAGGCCACGTCACACATCACCGCCGCTGCGCGAGTGTCCCCTCGAGGGGTTGCTTTACTCCGCGCCCTCCACGCGCTGCTACCTTTGTACCCTACCGGTTTGATCATGCCCTTCCGCGCATTGTAGATGGGCAGAGTTGCGATGGTAGCACCGTCAAACGTGTTATCATCACACTCGGTAACTTCAGTGCCAACTGAGTTTATTCGGTAACGCTCGAATCGATGTCATATCACATTTTCAAGCTAGATGCAAATCAGATTCGCAAATTTTTATAATTTATCACGAATATCCTTAAAGTCAAATCAAAAATTTCAATTAAAGAGATTTAAACATTAAACATTGTTTCAGTTATAATTGTTTTAAATTTTTTGGTAATCTGCCTCCTTTTGTTATCGTATACGCGTTGGTTTTGTGAAAATGAAATATTATTGCATTTTATGCTGTCTGTAATTATATTTGCATATAATGACAATATAATATGCGAAAACAAATAAAATTATTTTGTTTTAACGATAACGTTTTTGGATGGGTATAAGTTTTTTTTATATAAACAGGACTATATACAGTGCTGAGATGTTTATAATGTGAATATAATTACTCAATTTATCTTATAACGTGTTTAAATGTCTTAGGTCTATGTAATTCTCTAATTATACTAGAAACTTGCTATGTGGTAATCAATGTACTTAATTACAGGAACACTCTTACGCGCAATTCGCATGTATCTTATAATCAGACGGCGTGCGGACTTCTCACGATATGATTGATTATGGTTCATATAACTGCACAGCTTCAGCTTTTTGCGTTTCTATGCAGTTTCATGAGGATCTCTTGATCGAAAAATTAAAAAAATTAATTTTATCGTTCAGTAGTCATTCTAATTGTAACGATTTTATGTGATACAATATACATTTCTTATAATAAAGTATTTTAAAATTCGTATTCAAAATTAGACTATTTGAATTTTTAATTATATAATGCACAACAGAACGTGTCTATCTTTTAGCATAAATTATATTGCAATAAGTTCTCCTTTAAATAAATATGACTTCAAAGTCGCATGATTTACTCAATTCCATCTGGATTATTTTTTTAAAGCAGGCGAGCTGTCTACAATAAAAACCTTCGATCTGGAATTAACGAGCCTAAGTGTATCCAACGAAGATTTGCGATCCGTCGATGGCAGCGAAGGGTGGGCATGGACGAGACACGAGAAGAGAACATAACGCCCACGGCAACGAGTCGTTTTACCGAGAAGTAGAGAGCTTGGTGTAGTCAAGAATTTCCCGCGAGGCTCGCGTGTCCCGGATTTCAGGATGGGGCCCTTGTGCATCCTCGAGCATCCTCGATCTCTTCGGAAGAAGACACCTTCGGGGGGTTGACTAGTCGGGCTAGGATACATCCAGGATCACGCGAACCCCCTAAGGCACTAAACTGGCTAGCACGGAAACATCGGCTCGCAAATTTTTTGCGCTCGAGTTACAAGATTCACAACACAGAGCAGTTGTTTACAAAAAAGTGCGTATAATAATTTGAAAAAGTATTCAGTGTGGTTCTATTTTTATTTTTATCGTTAACATAATTTAAAATAAAATTTTTCCCTAGGACAGTAATATTAACTGTTCTCTCCAATTTAAATTTTCATCGGTTAATATATTATTTTATAAGAAACTTATATTCAAATAATAAAATAGAAAAGAGCATATAGAAGCCAGGAATTGTATAAAGTTACTTATAAGTTAAATATAATGAATTTAATAAAAACGAAAAAATATAAAAATATTTATAAAAATATAATAAAAATTTATATTTTGTAAAATATGTTTAACAATAATAAGTAGTAGTGCTAAATTTTATTAAAAGCTCATCGATTTATATTTTATTATTACGAATAGAGATGACGCGATAATTTAGCTGAATGTAATCAAGTTTATGTGAAAGCATATTTAGAAGTATTATTTTATGTAAATTGCAAATTCAACGTATATAGTGAAATTTTATAATATTAATGCTTTTTCCACTCTTTTTGCACTTCAATTTGGACGCGCTAATATTTTTAATGTTCTTAATTACACTTATTATTGTTTAACATTAAGAATTTCATTATTATTTATTAAAATATATTTAATTCTATTTTCTAAAGATACAAAAAATTATGCCCGTGCATTATATCTATATCTATATAACATTTGTGGCGTATCATTTAAGTAACGCTCACTTGAATGGACGATTCAACTTTCGACGCACAGGTAGCTGCAGGGACCGTCAAAAATTGTCATAAATTACTGAAAAGGAAAGCACTGTACGGCAAATAATGATGGCGCGAGACAAGCGATTCTCTTAACGAGCGAGTAACCGATCTTTGAGGTAGAATCGCGGGTGCTACGTGATGATCTCGAATGGATTTAGCACCCAATAAAAATGTGTAAATATTTGATGCAAAAAAAACGTGTCTTCCCTTTTCCACGGCTCTTACGATCCAGGGCCACCCCTGACGAGACTTAAACCACCACTGCGCGGGTCAACCGGTCTCCGATTCTTCGCGGCGGCCTATCTTTGTAGTCCGACGTATCCTCGTTTGTGAAACAAGCCGGCTTACAGGTACCGCGAGACAAAGACCCCGTGTAGCTTGGTGATGGGTATTTAGGGATTCGGTTATAATTGCTTTCGAAGTTTCTGAACCGGTGATATCCCGTGTTCGAGCCTGCTCCATGCCGCTGTCCACGCGGCTTCGTTACGCTTGTTCGGCAAAGATGAATCGTCTTTACCAAATAGAAGATACCAAAATGCTGTCAGGTAGGACATAGAAAGAAAAATACTTGCAGATATCGTATGCTTGAATGCTACTTTATTTACTTAAGATACTTTTATAATAAATTTAATAATATTGTAATTTCTAGTATACATAATTTTCTTCTGTAAATGTTCTACAAATATTATGTAACTAATTCATTTATGTGATGATACGATTTTATTGAATAGTCGATTTTTAAGAGTCTTTTCTTAATTCTTTTTCTCTTTATTTTTAAAATATCTTTAGTGCGTATAAAAAAATAATAGAATTATTGTCGCACGTCTTCATCAATAATACATATATTACAAGGAAATAAAAAAATGTCTACCACAAAAATTAATAAAATCATAACATCTTGTAATTTACAGCCTAACAGTTTTTAAGTATATAATTCTGGAAGCAATTTATTTCATAGAGAACTGTTGAAACAACGATTGATATCGTACCATAATAATTAACATCGTTGTTCAAAATTTTATTGGATTAAAATTTTTTGGTCACAGTCCATTTATTTCGAAAGTAGCCAAGTATTACAAACTAACTTAATTTTCATAACTCTACTTTATCTTTTATAAAATGTTGTACCTTGTTTCCTCTTCCGAGCGCCAGGCGCCAACGTTTCACGCATCTTCAACGGTCGTTTATCTTTTTTCATTCCTTTAGATCACGATTATTCATGATCGCCTATTCTCCATAATTCTGTGAACATTGCCGTGCCTCACTTTGTAAAACAATTATTGCAAGAGGATTTGTGACATCAATATAAATTTTATGATTATTTAAGATCATACTTTAACAAATAAAAACTCCAAGTTTAGTATTTTTACTAGATACGTACAAAATTTCAATCAAACATTTGTCAATTTTAATTTCAAGTTTCAATACTTATTATCTCTCTGTTTCGACACATTTACATTAAATACATTTACATTAAATACATTAAAATAAATATGTTCGGCTCATATGAAACGTGTTTTGTGTTGGCGTTAAAATATATATCTCGAAACTGGCCGGCCAAAGTATCGGACACTATGTTAATAAAAATATCGCGCTGGCGAAACAAATTATCTTTCTTAATATATAGTTTCGCATTGGTTTACTGTCTTCGCCCGTGTTGTCTTTTTCTCTCTTATTTGACACCCGTTTGCAGAGGTGCTCTCTCTTTCTCTCTCTCTCTCTCTCTCTCTCTCTCTCTTTTTCCTCACCTATCCGCTTCGGTGCAAGTCACTCCAGAATAATTTATAACCCGAAGGATCGGCTAAACGGACCGACTAACTTAACTAAATGCCGTGCTAATTTCATTTAACGCCTATGCCTATGTCTTGTCGCTGACCACGGGGAGTTTATCAAGTGGTTCGTGTACCTGTGTGGGCTCAGTCACCTCTTTTGCATGGATTGCTATTTAAGTACGTTTCGATTAGTAGTTCTGTGTATATAATAGAGGCCATGGTATTTTTTCTTACTTTTATCTCTTTCAACAAGTGATAAATAATCTTTTTTACATAACTATATGTAACTAAACACTTGCATCCTGTTCTAACATTCAATATCATAATAAGTTTGAATATTTTAGGAATATTTAATATTTTTTTATTTTAATACAACTGTTAAAAAAGTTTAATTTTATTATTATTCGATGATCATCTATGAGATTTGCTTATTTAATAAAGTACTTTAAAGCAGTCAAACTTTTTTCTTTAATATCCATTTAGTTCAAAAAACCCATCGTTGGCGTGAAGATAGTACTCTCGAGGTCTACAATCTCTTCATTTCTTTTTGGGCGGGTCTTTCGCGGAGACTTAGTGCCACTTCTCACGAGAAACGGGAGGAAAAAAGGTGCAGCCGATAGTTTCTTTCGCCACAGCAATGAAAACCGATTCAATGGCCTCATTAATATAAAGTTTTATCGATTTGGGCCAAGCATAAATTCCGTGAGATGACGGTTTTTTTTGTTTTTTTTAAAGAAACATCATAGAAATGTGCGATTTGACACTCAAATGCGCTTCAGGAAATTACGACGCTACTTCCCAAACAACGATATTAAGAGATTAGTTCGGCTACCGCTTCTCCAAAGAATTTATGAATCGATCATAGGGCGATTATTTTAACGATAATGTCTTATGTTTAGAAAATACAAATAGTTTGGCGTTTTATGATTTCTTCCTAAGTAGAGACGATTTATTATCTCAGAAAAACTTACG